CGGAGAATAATCAGTTATCACTGGCAAAAAGGAAATAATTTTATTCAAGTAGATAAAGAACATTGTTTGCTCTAATTTTAATACTGCTTTACATAGTTTGTGAAACAATTTCAATCGTGTTTATTACTCAAAATGTCAATGGATTACGATCTTTCACTGGTGAGACACTTGATAATCTCCAGAGGAAAATACATCAAAAGCATATATACAATTATAGCAGTTCTTATAATCCATGTAGCCCTGATGGTACATTATTTATCACGTTTTACAGAACTAGAAAACATTCAAATGAACATAAAGAGATTCAGACTGGATGATAAACTTCTGATGGTTCAGGGCTTTCATTTATTTTTTTCTGATACGAAAATCCAAAATTATTAATGTTGAATTTCTCATCATACATTCATCTAAAACCACAGTGGAAAAATGTAAACTTTGTAAAGACAGTAAATTGGTTATTGTAGGTGTTTCACAAGTAGCTTGCTATCTAATCCAGGAACTGCTGGAGATTTCTGCAGAGTGCAGAGAATGAGGTGGCCGGGCCGAAGTTGTTGCTGTCGTAATTGTTGAGGTCGTCCCCGTTCCCTTTGAGAGCCGCCTCGGACATCATCTCCACTTTCATGTTGAGGTCCTGATTCTTTCTTTGGAGGTCCACAATCACGGAATTCAGGAAATCAATCTGTGTTCAAGGAGAGCGTGAGATGGTGAGCCATCTGCGGGAGCCATGGGAGCCCGCCACAGAGGAGGCTGGGCCCCGCTTCCAGTCCCCGCCCCAGGGTTGGAGGCAGCCAGAGCTCCCCTTTCCCTTCCTGAGCGCAAGCTCCCGGGTGCCCAGGGAAGACCCCAGGAGGAGATGCTGGTACCCCTCGGTTCTTCTCAGAGCAGGGAGTCAAGAGGGGTCTTCCCTCTCCTACAAAGACAAACTCACTTCTTTCAAATGAATGGGGCGGGGGGAAATCCCACTTTACAAAAGCAAGCATGACTGTAAGCACAAACATTCATGTTTCACTTGAAAACTGGCAGGCGCGTTGGTTCTGAGTGATAGCACAGCGGGAAAGGTGCTTGCCTCGCACGCAGCCAACCCAGGTTTGATCCCTGGCATCCTATAGGGGCCACCAGAGACCAGCCAGGAGTGATTCCTGAGTGCAGAGCCAGGAGGAAGCCTGGAGTATCGCCAGGTGTGGCCCCCAAAGAAAGTGTAAATAAAACCAGAAAAACAGACTGATTCTTTTTCTCCCTCAGGGCAAGTTCTGATGGCCAGTCTCTGAGAGTGCCCAGGCCATCCCACACTAGAGCCAAGAAACGCAGATCTCTCTTCCTCCAGCTGAAAACAAAACAAAACAAAACAAAACATGGAAATGTTCAGTTCCCAACAAACCCATACAGGGTCCACCTGCACAGCCCACATGCAAAGTTCACTTCAGCCCACAAGTGCCCTCCAGGGCCACCGGCTATTAAGTACAGAAGTGCAGGAAGTGAGGGTGTGCGGGAACCCCTCAGGGCACTGGGACCCAGATGGTCCCCTTCCTCGGAGAGGATTCAAACGATAAAGCGCTGCAGACCCGGGTGGGATGGAAGGGGGGTTGGGGAAGGAGAGACATCAAGGAGGCCCCAAGGCTGACTCCTGCTGCAGGCCAGACCCGAGCCTGGTGATGGTAGGTGCGGGCACCGGACTGCAGCCAAGTGTGCAAACCCCGGAGGACCACACCCAGCTGTCTCCCTTGACAGGAGCAAGAAGCAGGAAGGCAGCCCAGAGGACCAGACTCCCCCAGCTCTGGGCCTAGAGCATGCGCAAAGAGGCTGGAAAAGCCACATGCTGGTGGGCGTTTCCGTTTGCGACTGAACCTTCCTGGCAGGGAAGAAGCCCTCCAAAGTGGTGTTCGACTCTGGCAAAGTGAAGATTTGCCAATTCGATGGGAGCCCGAAGCCCAGGTTCTGGGAGAGCAGCAAGAGGAAGGGCATTGGAGGGCTCTGGCAAGGACATGACCCCTTGACTGAAGGGATGTGTCCTTGTCCATGGGGCCTCTCACTCCTTAAGCATCATCTCTTGTGCTGGGAGCGTGTGGGGGTGGGGTTCCGGCAGCATGTGCGCGGCCCCTGGTTCTCACGGGCGCCAGGGGAGCACAGCCCCTTCTTCCTCAGCTTCCCTCTTTTTGGCTTCTGTTATTTTAATGAATCAATTAATTTGGGGAGGGGGTTTTGGGGTCACAATCCGGCGTTGCTCAGGAGTGACTCCAGGCTCTGCACCCAGGAAGTACTCCTGGCGGTGCTTCGGGGACCATATGGGATGCCGGGGATGGAACCTGGGTTGGCCTTGTGCAAGGCAAACAGCCTACCTGCGATGCTATTGCTCCGGCATCATTCTCGGATATTTTAAATGGTAGATATTCCCCGACTCTTTTGAAGCATACACGCATATATACATATATACATGTCTGTGTATGTATACATGCTTATCTAGAACCTTTGTGGGTAGTCAGTTTGGTTTGTTTGGGGGCCACACCCGGTGGGGTAGGGAATAAACCCTGGCTCTGTGCTCAGGGATCACTCCTGGCTAGGGTGGAACAGCTCAGGCTGTCAGCAGTCACTCGAGCCCGGGAAAGTGGGGCTGTGAGTTCAGAGGGCACTGGCTCACCTACAACTGCACTCAGGAATTACTCCTGGTGGTGCTCAGGGGACCATATGGGATGCCAGGGATTGAACCTGGGAATTCGGTGTGTAAGTCAAACGCCCTCCCCGCTGTGCTATCACTATGGCCCAGGATATGGTTTCTCTCAGGGCTGAGGCCGGGCCTACACAGCCCTGGTCACTACCATCACCCACCTTACTCTGCATCATCGCATTGGTGTTCCTGGTGTCCTCCAGGGAGGCCAGGGCCTGCAGGGACGCCTCCCGCTCGGCCAGCAGCTCGGTCTGCTGCGCCTCCAGCAGCGCCTGGTCTTTCAGCAGCCAGTGCAGCTGCCGCTGGAGCTTCGTGGCCTTCTGGCCCAGCAGCTCCTTCTGGGAGCCAAGGCTGTTCAGCTGCTCACGCAGGGCCGACTCCACGCGGGCGGCCTCCTCCTTCTCAGCCGTGAGCTCCTCGATCTCTTGCACCAGCGACTTCTGATCCCGAGCCAGCTCCTCGTAGGAGCACTGCAGCTTCTGGATGATGTTGTCCTTGTCCTTGGCCAGGGATAGGTTCTCCAGAACCAGCTTCTTGACATGCTCCTCCAGCTGGCCCCTCTCCTCCAGGCCCTTCTTGCACTCGGCCACCAGGCTGCTCTTGCTCATCTGCAGCTCCTCCACCAGGGCCTGCAGCCCCAGCTTGGCGACCTGCAGTGCGTCCTTCTCCGCGCCCACCCTCTGGAGCTCCTCCTGCACCGCCCTGCCCTCTTCCAGCACTTTCTCTTTCTCCGCCTCGAGGGCTTCTCGGTCCAGCCGCTCCTGCTGGCAGAGCTTCTCCGCGGCCCACCTGGCCTCGATAACCTTCTCCTTATCCATGCGAATCGCTTGGTTCAAGAGCCAGAGCTTCCTCTGCTCTTCCCGCAGCAAAGAGTTTTTGGCCTCCGCTTCTCTGAGTTTCAATTGAAACCACCCTCTCTCGGACTTCAGACAGAGCTTCTCCTTCGCCAGCAATTCATTCTCTGACCTCAGGGCCCTGCGATCCTCTGACATCAGCTCCATCTCTTCTTTGGCCGAGCTTAATAAGCAAGTTAAGGACTGCAGAAACAAAAAGCGGGGAAGAATGGAAACAAGAATGAGATCAAGCAGGCACACGCAAGCCAAGCACTTCATGTGGCCTAAATACCAGAAATGAAAATGGCAGAGTAGTCTTACCTGCACACGCGTGTATACGCGCACGCGCACACACTCACACACACACACACACACACACACACACAGACTCAGGATGGAGAGGCTCAGACACAGTTAGCTTCTTAGCGTCAACATAACTACCTGCCTATTTTGTGGATGGGGGCCCCACACCTGCTGGTGTTCGGGTCTCGCTCAGGGTTCTGTGTTCAGGGATCAGTCCTGGCAGGGCCGGAGGACGGGATGCTGGGGATCAACCCCAGGTTGGCCGAGTACAAGGCAGCACCCTACCCATTCTACTATCAGCCGAGTTGATTTTTGAAATGCCGTCTGAAATGATTCCTGACAGCTCCCCAGAAGGTGTAAGTACAGTTGGATCTTGACATTGGGGCATAAGATTTTTCCCCCCACTTCAATTCTTCTATTATAAAATGCATCACTCTGTCCTAGAAGGGATGCATTCAAAAACTAGTTTTCAATACAATTCAAAGAACTACAAAAAGTATTTTGTTTTGGAACTTTGTGCAGGAGGGGAAGGGAAAAGCAACCACTGCTTGTCAAACGATTTTCACAGGGACAAACAGAGGCAGGAAATGGACTTAGTCCCAAAAATTATACACTTTATAGAAAATCCAGACGAATCCACCAAGCTTTGGAGACTGAAGCCAACAGTTTTTGCTTGCCAAACACAGTAACAAGTCTCAAAATGGAGACATTAGTGGGCTCGCTCGAGCAAATCGATGAGCAATGGGAGGGCAGTGTTTTCAGTCATTTGGGAGGGGCCCAGGGGCTCCAGGAGGACTGGCCGCACACGGGTCAGGGTCTCCCTCACCTGCTCTCCCTGCCCGTCAGCAACGGGTTGTGCGTTTTCATTTCTGAGTCTCAATGCACACCACAGTTGAACCGCCATGTACTTTCCAGAACTTTCTGCAGCAAGGGCTATCTTCTCTGTCCAGCTCAGCAGCCATGAGCTGCAGCAGGCTACTGATGTGTGCTGGGCAGCTGACCGCTGACGGCCATGTTACCGGAATGAGACTGACCTGAGCATGCACACGAGGCTGCTGGCCACAGAACTGGGCCAGCAGGTGGTCCAGAGAGGAGACGTAGCCCTGGCTGCGGTGCGTGGTGGAAAGCGGCCGGGCACCAACACACACACGGGCCACGGCCGCCATCAGCCGCGGCGCTGCCCTGCGCCCACCCACCTTGGCCTTGTCGGCTTGCGTCTTCAGCTCGGCCACCTCCCGCAGCAGGCTCCCGTTCTCCGCCTGCACCGCCTGCAGCTTCTCCTTCGCCTGCAGCAGCAGCTGCTGAAGGGCCTGCGGCGACTCCTCGTGCTGCCCCTGGATCTCCACGCTGGCCTTGGCGAGCTCGGCCTGTAGAGCCTGGCACTGGCTGCGGCTCACGTCCACCTTCTCCTCCTGTGGGGAGCCGGGGGCCACTGTCAGCCGCCGGCCCCCTGCCCACTCCCAGCACACACGCACACACACGAACAAACATGAACACACACACACACACAATGCAAACACACAAACATACACACACGCACACACACGGCCCCTCTGCTCTGCTCACCAGCATGCACACACAAACACACATGCACACACACGCGCGCACACACGGCCCCTCAGCTCGGCCGCTTTCGTTCAAGTTCTCCTGAAGACTACGAAGCGCTAGCCCCTTCCCCTGCAGCTCTTCGGCCAGGCTATCGGCCTACCAGAGTCACAAGGATGGAGTGAATGGACCAAGGAGACAAACAGGAACGGGAAGGGGAAAACAAAACAGAAAACACGTATGAGAAGCCCATGACCCAACACAACCCCGAAGAACAGAGGCGTGAGGTGAGCGTGATTGCCTGAAGCTCACGAAGCCAAGGCCTTGGCGCCAGCAGTTCTGGTGATGACTATCTAGTGGTTATTGAAAACGGCCCAAACAGAGGCGTTTTCTAGACCTAACTTTGGCGTGACCAGAAAATAAGAAAGCCTATGAGAAAGACTGACTTTCCAGGGGCGGGGAGACGGCACAAAGTGCTGGAGTACACACCAGGCCCGAGTTGGAACTGCAGCACCACTGGGCGAGACTGAGATCGGTCCACAAGCTGCAAAGCCCCACTACTGCTGGGCGGGAGGACCCCAGAGCCCAGAGCATGGCTTGGCGAGGAAGAAGGAAGTAAGCAAGGGAGGAGGGAAGCTAAGGATAGGAAGGAGGGAGGGAGGAAACAGGGAAGAAAGGCTAAGGGAGGGGAGGGAGGGAAGAAAAGGTTATCTTTTTTTTTCCTTTTGGCTTTTTCGGTTACCCTAAATGCTCAGGAATTTCTCCTTGGATGTAACCTGGCCAGCTCACCGAGAGTATCTCGCCTGCACAGCAAGCCTGCCAAGCTCCCCGTGATGTATTCGATATGACAAACACAGTAACAAGTGTCACAATGGAGACGTTACTGGGTCCGCTCGAGCTAATCGATAAACAACGGGAGGGTAGAGACAATGACAGTGACCCTATGGGATGATGGAGATCAAACCAACGTGGGCCGCGTGCAAGACAAATGCCCTTCCCACTGTACTATCACTCCGGTCCCCAAGATTTACTTTCTTGTAGTTTCTTTTCTGTGACTTTAAAAGTTTGAGGGGTTTCAATATGAAATTTAAAATGAGGAACCTCTAATCCCCTAGACAGCAGTCACCCGAACTTGACGTTTGTTACATCTTGATGCGAACAAGTGGGTCAGCTATCCCCTGCTCTGTCCTAGGAATTGATTCCATTTGTTTCAGCCGGTGTTTCTAGAATGTCAGCCAAGGAGTCCTGAGTCCTGAGAGGAACTCCCGGGGATCTCGGGGCCCTTCTGTTATGTCTGTCAGTCCTGTCTAGAAAGCCCACAGCCCTTCCATCTTGGCCAACAGAGAAGTTTCTCCAACAAAGTGACCAGCGCGGGGGGGGGGGGGGGGTGAGGGCACATCCCTGCCACCACAATCCTATAGGAGGAAAAGGGCATCTCTCGGGGCTCCTTGGTGAGAACTGCAGCTTCCTCGGCTTGGCCCAGATCTCACTGTCTCGTCCTTCCCCAGGGTCAGGGCTACCATGAGAGTCCATGCCTGTGGCCAGCAGGGGGCCATGCTGGAAGGCGGACTTGGCCCAAGCACCTGTTAGAGGCTGAAAGGGATGAAATCTCTGCAGGACTGCGCGGGGGCTTGTGCTGCAGGGAGGGAGGGGCTGGCAATGAGAAATACCAAGATGGGCCACGTCACCAGCCTTGAGGGAGCTCAGAGGCTCAGAGGCATCGAGAACCAGCTGGGAACTGAGGCGCCTCGGGGAGAGGAGGGCAAAGCCCGTCACACGAGCAGGTGGTCAGCAAGGTCAGGGAAAGACCCTCGCGGCCTGACTCGAGCCCAAGTGTCTGGGCGAACTCGGCGAGTATGCAGCGAGCCCAAGAGGTGGGGGGCAGAGGTTTGCTCTGGGGGCTCCTATCTTATTTTCTCACTGGCCTCGTGAAGAATTCTCTGTTTCAGAAAGACCCCAGACGGGCCCGATTAGCCGGGGCAAAGGCCTTACGGCATCCAGGTGCTGGGGACCAATGACAACCCCCGAATCATGCCGACTCCTTCTCAGTCCCCTCAGAGGGAACCGCAAGGGACGTGACCGGGAGACCTGTCAGCACCAAGCCGGAACACAGCGGTGAGCAGACTGACACACAGCATGCAGGGAGCGAGCGTGGAAGTGGGCGAGGGCACCCGAGTACCAACCTGCAGCTCTCGGCCCGCTTTGCATTCTCTAACTCCTGAATCTGCCGCTCAGCCACCTGGAGCTGCTGCCTGAGCTTCTCCATTCCCAATTGACCTTCGGAACTGGCCTTCCAGAGCCCATCGAGCTGCAAGAGCTGTGCCGTGGCATTGGCCAGGGCCTGGGCTTGCTGACTACACACGGCCTTCAACCCGTTCAGGTGATTTACCTTCGTCTCCGCCTCCTGCAGCTTGTTCAGGGCGTCCTCCATCTCCACCAGGTGCTGGTCCTCGATCTGCTCGAGCTTGGCCCGTGCGGCCTCCAGGCTGTTCTTCTGCTCCTGGGCCGTCCTGAACATCCGCGACCTGAGCGTCTGCAGCTCGGAGGCGTGCGCTGCACGCTCAGCCGCCTGGTGGGCCTTCAGGCTCTCCAGCTCCTGCTGGTACTCGAACTGTAGCCTCTCGATCTGCATCTTGAGCTCGGCCAGCTCGGCCGCCTCGGCGCCCACGCCCTGGCTCACGGATGCCTTCGGCTCGCCCATGGCCTGTTGGTGCGGGGCGATGGCCGTCTCCAGCTTGGACTTCCACAGGGCGATCACGTCCGCATTCTCCTTGTTGGCATGGTCCAGCTTGGTCCTCAGGCACTCGTTCTCCTTCGCAAGCTTCTCAGAGGCCGCCTGCAGGGACTTCACCTCCTTCTGGTGGGAAAACAAAATTTCCATGAACTTAAAACAGGAAGGAAAAGAAGCAGAAATAGAAATTTTTCTTTTCCAAACTGACTCTTTGCTTCTTCTTGTTTTAAGAAAAAGCTTCCAAAAAATGGGGTTCTAAAGGATTTGATTTGTGCTGCTCGACTGAAAATCAAAGCTGAGGCAAAGGCATAGACCCGACTGTCAGAACGAGAGAAAAACGCTCATCAAGAGCAGCCTCCAGCCCCAAGGAGCAGAGATGTGTCAGCCGGGCCCTGCCAGGTGCATGACCCCAGGTATCCATGTCTGATTCGGAGTCTCCAGCAGAAGTGGTCCCGGCGGGGTCGGCCAGGCCGCCCCGCATCCTTGCCTGCACCCTGCAAGCCTCCGGGACCTGCCCGGGCTTTACCTCCAGGTCGCCTTTGGTGATGGACTCCTCCTCGACTCGGAACTGGAGGTCTTCCACTTTCCTGTGGGGCAGAGGGAGACGTTGTGAGGGGCGTCACTGCTGCCCCCCATGAGGGCCACCATCTTGTAGATGCGCCTGACCCAGCCCCCGGCTCCACACACAGGAGGGCTGAGAGAGTTGGGGAGGGCCAGAGCGAGAGTACAGCAGGCAGGGCATTTGTCCTGCACGTGGCCGACCCGGGTTCAATTCCCAGCATACCAGTATGGACCCCGGAGCAATGCCTGGAGTAATTCCTGAGTGCCGAGGCAGGAGTAACCCCTGAGCATCGCTGGGTTGACCCAAAAAGAAAAAAAAGAAAGTCAGCGAGTCCCCTCAGCTTGGAGCACTGGGTGGGACCCGCAGGCTACAGGAGGAAGCTAGACCGAGCCAACGCCAGGTTCAGTGTCATATCAACCCTTTCTGCCTCGCAGCTAACAGAGTTAGTTACAAAGTGACCAGCGGCGCCTGCCAGTCCCTCCCAGCCAGCGCCTCTCTCCACATTGTGACAACAACTGAGCCCCTGGGGGAGAAGCAGCCAACGACTCGGGGGCGGGGAGGGGAGGGGCTCCCAGTGACTGTCGAGTCAGCATGTGGAGCTGAGGGGCTGAGCCAGGCACTGGCAGTGCCCCTGGGCACCACACTGCCGGGAGCCCACCTGAAAAGGCGGTCTCGGCCAGCACCCCGTGTCCATCTGTCTGCAGCCAGGCCTCAGCCCCGCGTCCGTCTGTCTGCAGCCTGGCCTGAGCCCCATGTCTGTCTGTCTGCACCCCGGCCTGAGCACCATGTCCGTCTGTCTGCAGCCTAGCCTGAGCCCTGTCTGTCTGCTGTCGTGCCCCATGAGTACTGTGGGTTTCCTCCCGCCTGGGACTTAACCACAGGGACTTCCACAGGGCCCCACTGGGTTAGGACAGTTCCTTGCCACCCAGCACAGGCCTCCTGAATACCAGGCCACGTGGACACAGCAGGGAGGGCCGGGGGTGGCTTGGCTCCACTGAGCTCCCCCCCCTAGCCCTCCCGGTGAGGCCGCGCTCAGGACTGGGCACCCGTTGGTTTCTGGTTCTCACAGCCCTGGAAGGCCAGGAGTGCCCCACCCGAGGGAGCCCCCAGCTCCGGGCACGGCCTCACCTCTTCTCCTCCTCCAGCTGGTTCAGCAGCTCCACCTTCTCCCAGTCGGTCGCTTCCAGCATGGCCCGCAGCTCGTCGTTCTTGGCCTCCAGCTCCAGGACGTGCTGTAGAGGCAACGGCGCGTGAGTGGCCTCGCCCGCCCCCAACAGCCCTCTGGGGGCTGGCATCGCCACCTGTCACCACAGCAAGCTGAATGCATCTCCCACCTAAGCTACGGCATTTCTGGAAGGCCAGAGAGGAACCACACCACGAAAGCACCGGCGCGGACAACTCGGCACTCCCTAAACCCCCACAGGGCGAGCAGAAGGCGCATGCGATCAAACCACGCGCCGGACGCCACCGCAACGACGGCAGACGGGGACCCACGGCCTCTGCCTGCACCGCCTGCACCAAGCTCGCGCCCAGCCTCTACCGCAGGCGTCTCTCGGCCCCAGGACTGCCGTCTGCACAGACGTCACCTGGTCGTGCCCGTTCCGGCCAGGGCCAGCTCCTGCTCTATCTCCCCCATGTGGCTCGTGGCCTTGGCCACCTCCGCCCGCTCTAGGTCCCGCTCGGCCAGCAGCTTCTCAGTGTGCTGCTGCTTCTCCTTCAGCGCCTCCTGGAGGGCGGTGGTGCCAGAGATCTTGTGGGCGTAGCGGGAGGAGGTTTCTGGCAACTGCAAAGGAAAAAGAGACGTGAAGGGGATGGGGCCGGCCGACACGGGCATGCTCGCGGTGATCCTCGGCAAAGCACATGGAGCAGTGCTGCCTCCTTGCATATGGGCCAGCAACTCTCAGCAGAAACGTCTTGAAACCTTCCCGAAGATCCTTGGACGGGACCTGGGCTCCACTGACCTCGGGCCTCGTGGGAATCCAGAGACTCTTCTGCAGAGCCGGAGGCAGCCCCCTCCACAGCCCGCTCTGGCCTGAGCTTCCTTAAGGATGAGCCCTTGGCATGAGCTTGAGGCCAGCTCCAGCATCTTCAGCCTTGCAGGTCCGTCAGGCAGCCTGTCCCTGGGCAGCCTGTCCCTTCTCTCTTCCTCTTCCTTCCAGCTCACCTCGCTCTCCTGGGCACCGCCCCATGCCTGAATAGCAGTAACCAGTGACTCTTGTCTCTGGGAATGGCCCCGTGACCCCGGGGGTCACTGGGTGGGACCCTATAAAAGACCCCTGTGCCATCTGCCTTCGAAAATGGGAGATGAGAGGCTAGAATGATAAAGTTGCGGGAAAGGCGCTGGCCTTGCACGCCGCTGACCCGAGCTGGATAACAGGTACCCACCCCATAGGGTCCCGAGCCCACCAGGAGTGACTCCTGAGTGCAGAGTCCAGAGTAAGTCCTGAGTATTGCTGGGGCATGGCCAAAGTCCAGGGGAAAAAAAAGGAAAAAGTGGTGGGTGAGAATGTGTGAGGGCTCACGCCCAGCGAGCAGGACAGCAAGGGCAGCTCAGGGAAAGACCAAGCACAAAGGGAAGGAGAGAAGAGGCAAAGACAGTGAGGAGGGGAGGGGAGTGGGCTGAAGGGCTGCGGGGACCGGGGGTCCTGTCCGTTCTATCCTGGGCTCGTGGTCGCTCATGGTCGCTCTGCAGACCCAGATCCCTCTCTGCACAACGGCCCCTGCAGGAGGGGACAAGGCGGGACCTGATCTTCATTCTTCGGGCACATGGTGGCGGGGGCTGCAGCGGCGATGGCCAGGACTTCCGCTCCTTCTGCCTGGCCATCCCTGTTCCAACGCCCTGCTGCTGTCCAGCCGCAGGTTCTCTTGCCGCTTCCCCGCATCATCTGAGCTGCTGCCAAACGCCTCCTGACCGACGGGCCCAGCAGGGCCCAGGCTGTCCACTGCTGTTTTGCCTGCTGGGAGCTCTCGAGCCACCTGGTTCTGTCCGGAGAGCGGGATCATCCTTGCCTGTGCGTAAGGACCTGGCCGTGATTTCCCGATACACTTCAAGTATATCTGGTCCGATTAAATGCCCTCCCCAGGGCCAAAGAGTCTGTTGGGGGGGGTAGGGGAAGGTGCTTGCAGAGGTTCAAGATCCAGCACCATCAGGAGTGACCCCACCCCCCAAGCAGAGAGCCAGGAATAAGCCCTGAGCACCCCTGGGTGTGGCCCCAAAACCAAATAATAACTAAAATTTCTAGGAGCACACGAGCTCTCGGGCCAGCCATGTGCAGTGCTCCCGGGAACTGCAGTCAACTCGGATTTCAAGGGGTGGCTGGGAAGAGCTTGCCAGCCTTGGGGGTCTAACACCAAGACCCGGGCTCAACCCCCCTCCACCGGGAGCAGCCCCCAAGCACCACGCCTGGAGTCCCTGAGCACTGCCAGGTGAACCCCAAAGAGCAAAAATAAAAACTAAGAAAGGCGGGCGGCGGTGTTCCCTGAGCCTCCTGGCCGGAGCGGGTGGGGCAGGCCAGACGCACGCGCTTCCTGGGCCCGAGACAGCTCCCTGAGGAAACCAGCACAGGAGCGATGGGCTTCTTTCAGCCAACTATGGAGACGAGACTGTGAGGTTCAGGCGCCGGAGCAGGGAGAAAGCAGCACCCCTAGCATGGGGGGAGGCGCGTGCTGAGGGGCTGGGCAAGGTCGGGGCCACGAGCTGAACTCAGGATGCTGATGCCAAAGCCTCTGCTTTGCGCGTGTTTTGTGAGGCCCCAGGCTCCATCCCAGCAAGGCCAGGCCTTCTGTGGGAGCCTGGTACCTCAGAAGAACAACTCAGCCAACAGACGAACAGGGAGGCCTCCACAGGGCACGCACGGACCCGTGTGCATGTATGTATGCGTGCATGTATGTTCCGGTGGGCATATCTACACGCACCTGTGTGCATGCGCGCGTTGTGTTTATGCATGTATGTGCCTGTGTGTGTATACCCATAAGCCTGTGTATATACGGTATGCACTACGTGTACATGTATGAGTGACTGTGTGTATGAACGCTTGTGTGTGCACTTATGGAATTATATTGTCGAGGTATACTTTCGTGAAGTCACACAGAATCTTTCTATATTCCTGTCATAGACGCTAACGGTGATGTTCAGTTTAGGAGTGAGCTCCACCCTGCATAAAGATATGCAAGGCAGGGGCCAAAGAGCTGGAGAGCGAAGCCCCAGCGCTGCCCAGGCTCAATCGCGGAGGCCCGCCAGGAATAATCCCGAGCACAGAGGTGGGAGAAAGCCTTGAGCTCTGCCAAGTGTCACCCCAAAACAGAACAAAACAAGACAGCGGGGAGAAGCTGGAGATACGTCTCAGGCGTAGGGCTCTTGCTTGGAGGTGGGAGGCCCCGGCACGACCCCAGCACTTCAAACGGCCCCTTGAAGCACTGTAGGGTATGGCCCACAGTCAAGCAGAAAAACAAAACCAAATTCCACAAATGGGCTGGCTCGCGAGGGAAGGAGAGGGGCTTCTGAGTCTGCTCCCCTCCTAAATGGTGAGGCGAAGGGAAGGAGGAGTCGGACGTGAGGATGCACGTGGGACAGGAAAACCTGGTGGTGGTCGAGCAAGACAGGACTGGCCCCAGGCCTGTGCCCACGGCGCGTGGCCTCCTGGCTCCCGTTCCCGTGTCATCTGTTTTGTATCTTCCGTTGCACACACACTCACTCCCTCCTCTTCCGCATCGAGGTTCAATGCACGGAGCAGAGGCGGCGGCAGGAAGCGCAGCCCCCAGCAAAGCCAGCCCCCCGGGACACCCTCTCCAACGTGGGCCCGTTTCCCTGTGGACAATATCTCAGGGCACCCTTGCATATTCAGACACACTTTAGTGTTTATGACTCAGATAGACGTGAGGGGAGAAGCCACGAGGCCCCAGCTTTGAATTGCGGCACCGCAACGGACAGAAGTCGAGGCCACTCTGCATGTGGACAGCGGTGCAGAGGGACAGGAGGGAGCAGGGAGAGACGGAGAGAGCAAAGAAGCAAGATGAAGGGCCAAGCGTTCCCCAGAGTCTCTGGGCCCTGCTCTGACCCTCAGTCGCCCCCTTCAGCTACCCCACTTCATCCCTAAGGTGGCCTGAGGCCAGAGAGGAGCCCTGAGCACCCCAGGAAAGGCCCATCCCTGCTCCTGTCACGGGTGGTGGCTGGGAAGCCACTCGCCTGCCACCCGGAGCTGCTCAGCCCACGTGCTCCTGCTCCACCTCTCGCCCCTGGGGCTGTGGGAGTCTGTGGGGGCCCGAGCACCCCGCAGTGGTGGGGGGCTGCTTACTAGTCCCGTGCGGCCGGGTCTGCTGCTCTCGAATGAGGCCCCGGAGCTGACAGAGCTGAGCGAGGAGGCCGAAGGGCTGCGCTTCAGGCTGGCGGGGGTGGTGGCCATCACACGCCTCACGGCGGCCACCCTACCCTTGTCCGGCGTCGTGGACGGGAAGCCGATCTTGGTGACTTTGTGAATGGGAGCAAACAAGCCATACTTGGGCTGACACTGGAAGTACCTGCGGACAACGAGGAGCGGGGGACAAAAACACCTTCGGCAAGAGACACAAGCGCCGACCCAGAAGTCCACTGAGTCCCACAGTCTCACACCCCCACAAACGAACACACTCCCACAGCCCCACATACCCACACACTCATACCCCAACAAACACACTCACACACGCACCCCAAACAACACTCCCACACTCTCACACTCCCACCCCAACAAACACACTCACACTCACACCCCAAACAACACTCCCACATTTCCACAGCGCCACACTCACACTCACTCCCCAACAAACATCATACCCTCCACCAGCCCACACTCACACACACTCACAACCCAACAAACACACACACACCCCAACCAACACTCCCACACATAAACACCACAACCAACACACACTTACACTCACACCCCAACCAACACTCCCACACTTCCACACTCTCACAGCCCAACAAACACACTCCCACCCCAACCAACACTCCCATACTCTCACACTCCCACCCCATCAAACACACACACTCACACCCCAACAGACACTCCCACATGTCCACAGCCCCACACTCACACACACTCACTCCCCAGAAACACACATACTCACACCCAAACCAACACACACTCACACTCACACCCCACCGACACTCCCACACCCACACACACTCACACCCCAACCAACACTTCCACACACCCACAGCCCCACAGTAACACACATGCACACCCCAACCAACACTTGCACGCTCTCAAACCAACACTGACACGCTCTCATTCCCCCACAAACACGCTCACACCCCCACCAACACTCTCATGCCCACGCCCCCACCAACACTCTCACAGCCCCACACTCACACGCTCACATACACACTCCCTCATACATTCACACCCACACTCTCTCCCATGCCGCCCACCCCCACCACGCAAACCAAGGGCGATTCCAAGCAGGCTCCCCGGCATCTGAAGGGCCACAGCAGGCCAGGAGGGTTCCTGCGGCCCGAGCACAGCTGCATATGGGGGTCCCAGGCTGTCCCCACATCCCTGCAGGGTCCCCGAGTGCCACTGGAAGTGGCCCCGCCTAAGAACCAAGTGAAGTGGCCTGCAGTCCCCTCAGCGCCTCCCGGGCACCGTGCATGGCCCCAGGCTGTCTGGGGGGGCAGGGGGACCCACCTCGTTCCGGCCACGGCACCATCGTTCTTGCCCAGTGGCTTGTCCAGCTCTACGCCGCACCAATCCCCCTTGGCGAAGTCCGTCTCCCCGAGGAAGCGCACCACACTGGCCTCCATGCCTCCCACCTGCCGGAGGGATGGAGGGACGTGGGTCAGGCACCCTGGACTGCGCACAGCGCCCCCACCCCCGCAAACAAACATTCTGGCTTCAGAGTCGGGATTTCCTGAAGAAACCCCAAAGGTCAAAGTGCCATTTCCCCCCGCAACCCCTACAGGGTGAGCAGACGCTGCTGCTCAGTGTCCATGCAAGGCAGCGGCATTCACACCCACTCGCTGTCACTGGTGGCCTGGCTGACCACACCCCCGGGAATCTCTGACCCAGGCCAGCCACCTGGTGTGGCGAGGGGGTCGCTGCCCCGTGGGTGTGGGAGCGGAGCACTGGCAACCCCACCGCTGGAGAACAATTAAGCCAGAAACCAGCTAAAGGAAAATGACTGTTCTCGTATCTTAGCAGAGTTCGATCTTCCAGTTCTCCTTCACTATGCCTTGGCTTGTCGCTTGGCTCCCGGGACACAGAGCAAAACAGAATCACAGCGCTGGACACTGACAGGAATGCTGACAAACAGGGCTGGAGCACCGAGGGAAGGGTGCTTTGTGTGCGACCACCCTGTGACGCCCCAAGCAAAAACAATGAAAACCAGAGAAATAGAACCGATTTTCAACTTTGTTCATTGGTTTGTTTTTGAGTCACATTCAGAGTGCTCAGGGCTTACTCTTGGCTTGGTGCTCAGGGATCACTCCGGGATGTGCTTGGGGGACTGTACATGGGACCAAGACTTAAACCCCGGGTCAGAGGCGTGCAAAGCATGACCCCTCCCCACGGCATGACCCCTCCACCCTGTTTTGGCTAAACTGGTAAAACTGGCAGCATCCCCGCACGCATCAATCACGCTGGAAACTGCAGGACCAGGCGTCCCGGCTGCTCGTGCTTCCACCCAAACCGCGAGTCTGGAGGAGCTGATGAACCAGACAGGCGAATGGACAGCCACCCGCGACCTCTGCCCTCGGCACTCACCAGCACCTGGTCCCCGAGCTTCAGCTCCCGCTCCCCTTTCTTGAGGGAGCCGGCCTCAGAGAGGTTGGAGATGGACTCGCTGGCTGTCCTGGTCAGGCTGCTGATGTGAGGGGTGGCCGGTGCCTCCTTCGCGGGGGACTGGGGCACCTTCGCGGTGCCGGCAAGGGCCGGGGAGGCCGACAGGGGCGGTGTGGCCCAGGCGACAGGCGCTGGCTGCCGGCAGTTGGTCTCATCGTCGGCCTGCAAGCTCCTACTCAGCTTGGACGGCCGGGTGAAGATGCCCTTCAGCGGCTCGCACTGGAAGTAGCGCACACCCGCCACCGAGCCGTCGTTCTTGCCGATGGGCTCGTCCAAGACGATCCCGGCCCACTGACCAGGGGCAAACTGGGTCTCCCCGAGGAACTGGATGAATCCAGGCTTGTTCCCGTTCACCCAGACTCGTTCCCCGACCTGGAAGTCGCCCACAAACTCCTCCTGCATCTCCGAGGAGGGGGCGCTGGGGTTTTTCTCCCCAGGCACGGTCTTCTCAACGGGAGCAGCCGCTGGAACAGCAGAAATGGTCAAAAGGGTCAGAAGGGACAGGAAGGGCCTGTGCAGGTCCAGGTAAAGTGTGGTTGGGGGAGAGGGACACCCAGCAGTGCTCGTGGCTAATCCCAGCCAATGACGGGGGCTGCTTGTGGTGAAGCCTGGCCGGGCCAGCCGTGAAGCGGACGTGCTCACCTACCGCAGCATCCCAGGCCGCAGTCATACTTTGGGCAGCTCAGGGGAAATCTTTGGATACACCCCGTGATACTACGGACCAAGCCAGGTGAAAGCTCGAACCCAGTGTCTTATTTCTGCTGTGTCCACTGGTCCATCTTCTTTTTCTTTTAGGCGGGGAGCAACCCAGCCAATGCTCAGGGCCTATTTCTGGTTCTCCGTGCAGGGTTAATCATGGTGAGGTTGAGGGTGGAGAGTCACATGGGGTGCCAGTTGCCCTCCCCACTGTATTGTGGCTTTGGCCGGCAATGAGGCCCTCTAGTCCAGGTGAGTCCACCTCCCTAAGCCTGTCCCCAAGCCCGGGCAAGGGAGCTAGCAGTTAGAAGGGAGCGTGTTGGTCGCCTCAGCTGTCACCGGTTGCCGTGACACTAAACTCACAGAACGTGACACTCGTGTGTGAGAGCTGTCCCCAGAGCCACGGACGTGTCTACAGCTCAGGGAGCCCTTCCCGGGCGAGGACTCGGGATGGGGTTCCCGGGTGGGAATGAGTCTCCGTTGGCCTGGGCTGAGTGCACTTACCGGCCGAGGGTGTCTTCAGGGCCCAGCTCCCATGCTTGAGGATCTTGGTGGGGGCCTTCAGCCCGCTGGGTCTCAGCAGACTCATGGTCAGGCGGTCAGATGCTGCCGCGGCCACTACCAGGCCCCGACCATCGAGCCCACTGTGGGGCCTTCTGAGGCACACTCGTTCTCAGGACTAAATCTCTGAAGAGCAGAGGAGAGAGTCTGTCTCAGGCGAGCGACCACAGCAGCTTCCGGAGCCCAGAGAGCTGCCAGTCTGGCACTCGCCACCCCGAGTGCGACCCCCAGTCTCCCGCACAGCCCCGTGAGCCCACCAAGTGTCATTCCTGTGCAAAAACTCAATCCAAAACAGACAAACAAACAACTGCCGATTCGGGGCCAGAGAGCAGAGGGGACAGGTACTAGCCCTGCGGGCAGCTGACCCTCGCGCCCTCCCTGCCATCACTCCCACCACCAAACACATTCAGGAGCCAGAAATCATCCCTGAGCACCGCGAGTGTCACTGACCACCTCCCCGTCCAGACACTGACGAGCCGGCAGGCAGCTCAGCAGTGATGGCTGGTCTTGTGTGTGCGTGTGTGCGTATGTACATGTGTGAGAGGCCCGGGGTTACACGTAGAAGCTAAGGCAAGCAACAGGCACACTTTTTTCTATGGGCTGAGAACTGCCTGGGAAAAGGGCCCAGCAAGACTGCGCCAAAGGGGGGCTGGAGAGCGATAGCACAGTGGGAAGGGCATTTGCCGTGCACGCGGCCGACCCAGGTTCGATTCCCAGCATCCCATATGGTCCTCTAAGCACTGCCAGGAGTGATTCCCAAGTGCAGACCCAGGAGTAAACACTGTGCATCACCAGGTGTGACCCAAAAAGAAAAAAAAAATTGTGCCAAAGGGGAGCGAAGGAGTTTTCGGCATTTCCTTCATTCCTTGTGACGCTGCCCAGGTTGGATAACCACAAGCCAGTATTAACTCCATTTCTTAACCCACAGAACTGAGGCAGACAGGTAGATGGGGGAAGCGTCCCCATGGCGATGGAACTCCGAGAAAGTCAACAAAAGCTTCATGGCCACCAAAAGACTACCTGAGTGCACGGGACCCAAGGTCTTGTCAAAATTAACCCACATTATGAGGCCCAGAGCAGGCTGGACCCCCCGAGGGAATAGGAACAAAGGGCAGGAAAGGAATTTCTAAGAGGACCATGGACCACTCAACTCTACCCCGTTGGCAACCACCCTAGCAAGGGACTCTAGGTAGCTAGAAACTCCCACCAGGGGCAGCCTGGGGAAATCCCTAGATTAGCCACCTTGAACCAAGGGAGGGCGCTCATGTGTGCCCGAGCCCAGGTACTGCTCTTGCCTATGAGGTCCATCATGTCACGGGCTTCTCCCCTCCTGAGGTGTGGACTTTCAGACCGAATGCAACCTAGCAACATAACATGTTCAGTGGCTTTCTGCACCTCTGAAGAAGCCGCACTCTCTCTCGAGCGTGTTACTCCCTCCCTCCTTCCCCTTCCTAAAGGCCTCCAAATAAAATGTTTCTGCTTCATGCTCATCTCCTGAAATGCTTTTCTGCGAGGAGGACAAAGGCCCGGGGGCCTGAGGAGGTCGAGGATCAACTCCCTTTCCCTGAAAAGGGCAACCCCTCACTCCGGCCCAAGACCCCGGGAAGGCCTAGTGGGCGTCGTGGGGCTGGCGGGGCTCATTGCACTCAGCAGTGCCAGTGCTCCAGCCAGTCCCGGAGGAGTGATATCTTCTCCTCTGCTTCTCATCAGCCCCCCCTGAGGGCCCACTGACTTCAGAGTCATTCCATATTTCAATAGAGAAGTCCGCAAAGGGAAGAGAGGCAGGACAGTGGGGAGGGCACTTGCCTTATATCCAGTTGTCCTGGGCTCAATCTCTGTCAGCACAGGGACGTTAGCCGGCCAGGGTCACCCCTGGGCACAGCCAGGTATGGCCACCCCACCCCACCCCGCCCCCACCCCACCCAAAAATATATATATAACTAGTAAAAAAACTTAAACTAACTAAAGATTTAAAACTATCATACACTAAAGAACTGTTAGAGAAAAAAGCCGCCCGCACGCGGGCAGAAAGCCCAGAGACTCAGATTCACCTGTGTCACACTGCACTCGCAGCTTCAGTACTGAGCTCTGCCAAACAGGCTCGTGCCAGACTCGTGGAGAGACTGAAAATGGCAGTTGGAGTCTAGAATTTTCTGAGGTAGAACTAGAATTCAGCAAGGAGGAGGGCATCATGGGCCATTCTTAAAGGGGCAGGCGCCACCCTTCGTGATGTCAGTGTCTGGCTGAGGCTCTGGAGGGCTGCCCTTGCAGACGTCAGCACTACATGGCCAACGAGCCTCTGGTCCCTGCGGGGCCCAGTTCTGGATCCCCGGGCCCTGTGAAAGTGGTTTCAGAAAACTTTTGACAAATGTTTGTCAGTTACAGATCTCCAACTGAGGTCATTCAGCATCCCCCGAGTGGGACCTGGACCCAGTGACCCTGCCCAGGGCCCTCCTCAGGAGCCGGGCCAGGAAATCTGTGAGCCGGGGGGGTGGGGGGGGGCGGGCGGGGGGGCAGAGAGACAGGGCAGAGGCCCTGAGTTCGACCCTGACAGCCCTGCTCTCTGTGACCCCAGTGCTGTGAGCAACACCGGCCGCACCGTGGCCAGGGAGTGGCCCAGCCCACTTATGCCTGAGAGCTGTACAGAGGAGTATGGCCTGGCCTGCTCCGGATGGGAGCACAAGCTGAATGAGTGCGGGTTCCCTCGAGGATGAGTGAGCAGCGGGAACCGGGGAGTGGTGGGGAGGGGGGGAGGGCGGAGTGACCTAACCTGGGGGCTGAGGACGGGACATCTGACGGTGCTCAGGGCTGACTCTGATCCAGTCATGGGAGCTCATCCTGGCAGGACCTGGGTGGGAAGGGACGTACAGGGTGGGGTGGGGTCAGCCACAGGCAAGGCAGGCTCCTTGGCCCTGGGCTACCCTTCCGGGCAAGGATACCTATTTTCTTTCTTTCCTTTTGTTTTTTGGGACACTCGGCAGTGCTCAGGGTTACTCCTGGGTCTGCACTCGGGAATGACTCCTGGCGGTGCTCAGGGGACCTATGGGGTCAGCCATGCAGCAGGCAAACGCCAAGTCTTCATGTCAAGGTGCCCACGAAACACAGTGTGCAACAAGGGACTCTGCAGAGAACATCAGGGCCAGCAAACGCTACTTGGAAATCAATCAATTCTGAAAAAACACAAAAAGATGCAAAAGGAGGGGCTGGAGTGAGAGCACAGTGGGGAGGGGTTTGCCTTGCTCATGGCTGACCAAGATTCGATCACCAGTCCTGAGCACTGCCAGGAGTAATTCCTTAGTGCCACGTCCGGCGCTGTGGGGCAGAGCCAGGGGAGGGCCGTCAGGGTGAAATCAGCACTCGAGTCACACAGGGTTCCGTCATTCAGGAGATAGCATGAATGCGTGCGTTTATTCAGAGCATAAGTACAGACTTAAGTATGTTTCCACAGCCCACCCAAAAGAAGGAAAGGGGATGGGACGTGGGAAAGTGGATGGGACAATGAGCAGAGCCATGCACTGTTGGTCAGCCACCTGGTGACCATTTCGGCATAATGCTATTGGTCAGAACGACCTACTTTGATATAGCTTTGACATAATTGCAAAGATTGTGCTGTTCCTCATACACCATTTACAAATCATTTACGAGGGTCCATTTTCCCCAAACTGAAACCTCCTGTACTGGGAGGTTGCCCATGAAAAATCAAGCATTCTTTTACTTGGTCAGTAGGCAACACTGAGCATCACTGAGTGTGACCCAAAAAGCCTAAAAAAAAAAAAAAGAGAAAAAAACAGCGCAAAAGAAAATGTGTTTGAGCCTCACTGTCTCCCTGAGACTTGAGCACTCAATGCTGTGTGTGAGCCTAGTAGAGTCTCCGGCCTGAACAAGCCCCCACCCCCCCACCCCCATGCTCCTGTGTTTGGACCCTGACCCTAAATCCTGTGATGGGACCACGTGTGTCCATGACAAAGACGCTAGCAGGCTCACGCCCTGGAACGTCCCTGCTTCACACAGGCATGGCACACAGGTCCTGGCCTGCTAGCGGCCGGCAGTGATTCGGCAGGAAGCAGAAGTGTGAGCCTGAACGTGGGTCAAGTCCGTTCCTTCAGCTTGGAGGGGAGGAATGTACAAGAGGGAGTTATGAGCACTGCCTCACAAGCAGGAGGTCCTGAATCCAAGCCCCTGGGGTCAACCGTGCACCTGGCACAAAGCCGGCACAAACCCGGCAGCTCTGCTGTCCCAGCACCACGCAGGAAGGGGGGTGACCCCAGGGGGAGGGCCACCGAGAGAGGAGGGGGACACCACAGAAAGGAGGAGTGAACACAGGGCAGGAGTTGAGGGCTGCAGGGCCAGGAGCACCGGGCAGAGAGCAGACCTGGGGAGCAGGAGGACACGCGGGCGCCCTTGTCACTGGCCACTCGAGGCAGTCGCACAAGCCGTGTGCAGACCCACGAGGCTGACAGGACGCCAGGGACGGGGAATCCCCAGCAAGGATTTTTCTTTAAGTTTTGGGCCTTGGGGCCAGAAGTCTAGTACAGCAGGGAGGGCATTTGCCTTGCACACAACTGACCCGGGTTCAATCCCGGCATCCCATAGGGACCCCCGAGCACCTCCAGGAGTAAGTCCTGAGTGCAGAGCCAAGAGTGACCCCGGAGCACGTCCAGGTGTGACCCAAAAACAAAACTACAGCAGAGCAAGCCGAAGGGCACGGAAGCTCCGAGCCACGGAAACGCCGAGGTTGGTGCCCACTCGCCCCCGCCCCCCGCCAGGTCAGGCCTGCCTGCGATCAAGGTGCCCGAGTGTCTCCAGACAGGATCTGCCTCAGCAGCTCAGTGCGTCATCTCAGCCTATCACCCAACTCGACTGGATTGACTCTGGTTATCTCCTTGTCTGGTTATCTTGGGCATCTCAAGGGCCAGCCGCCCAATCTCCGTCCTCCCACCTGGCCAGGGCGGGATCAGGTGTCAGCAGCTGTGCCCTGAACACCCCACCTGCCAGTCCAAACACAACGCGAGCCCAAAGGCCAGGCTC